ACCACTGAGCTGATTCGTACGAAGGCGCCGCCGAGTCGTCCCTTTTGACTGAAATCATCAACGCGCAAACGTCAAGCACTCACTTGGTGATTTCGTGCCTGACATTGGAGTTCTACGTGCGATGTACGAATTTTTCATCTGCCTCGCACGTCTGAAAAAACAAAGGAAAAAGAAAACGCGGTCGGGTGTGGCTACGTGACTTCCAGCAGCTCTCCCCTCCCTCTACATTCCTCCTTCCACCGCAGTCCCGTTTCGATTTAGAGCTGTTGCGTGTTTTCACTTTATTAAAATGTACGTGGCGCTGTAGTAAAATATTGATTGGTTAGTCTTTTGACATCATAACAAATCGCCTGGCTAGAAATATAAATTTTTGGGGGGTGTTTTTTACTAGTAAGTCGGTGACACTTTAGTGCCCCAAAAAGCAGTTATACACCTGCTGCAGACTACGACGGTTTGTGTGTAACATTGTGCAAGATTTAAAAGTTCTCGCCCTTCTGCGAGGGCTTTTAAATTTATGAGTTATAAAATAATAATCAATCCTTAGCAAAAAGTCAAGGTCAAATTAACCAACTGCTTTAATTTGTCGGGACAAGCCCGGTAATCTATGAAGTTCTGTAAAGTTCAGTATTTGCTTCAAACAAAAATCGCAATGTCGCAAAAAAAAAAAAAAAAAAAAAGATATTATTTGTTTGCACGACCTTTTCCGAAATTCAGTGCCATCTGGTGGCTGAAATGGCGGTTTAACTTTTGCCATACGAATGGCGGCAATGAACCCGCAGCCTGCAGTATTTTATCGGGCACCGTCATTTTTGCATGTCAACGGCAGACGTGAATAAACTTTTCGCTAAACAGGTTTTTCTGGATCAACTCTTCCAGTGTCGATTCCCAGAACGATGCAACCAGGCAGAACGAAGCGCCACCCCAGACAGGCGCCTTGATAAAGTTCTATAAGTCAAGGGGTTTCGAAGTCGATTTTGTGCCACTAACACGTTAACACTTACGCAGCGCTTGCATTCAATTCCGGTTTCGCAACGTGCTAACGTCTAGAATGTATAGGCCTCGAATCCTCAGCTTAGGAGTATCTTCAACATGTTCCTTCATCAGTAAAAAAAAAAGCCGCCATTGGTATGGCACGGGTCCATATCACATGAGCGAATGACATTTTAGCGAACGGCGACATTTGAGCGAATGGTCGTTTTAGCGAATAACGGGGGCGCGCGTTAACCCATCCGTCGCGCTGCGCTTTACGCCGCTTCGCGGCGACAGTCTGCGGCAACTCATTACAAAAATGTGAACTCACTTGGCCCACCCGAAAACGCCGCTTCGCGGCGTCCGACTATTCGCTAAAGTGTCGTTCGATGAAACGTGGGCGTTCGCTAAAACGTCATTCGATCAAGTGAGTGCCTCCCGGTATGGCACATATGCCATTTTTCAGATGGTGATGATAGTGATCAAAGCAGGGGGGTAAAGGTGGGTGAGGAGGAGTGGCAAATCCCGTGCGCCGACACCCGGGGTCCCGAGTGAACGATCGCAAAAGAGAGCGACAGAACACGAGAGAAAGAAAGCAACGTTGCCATGGTAAACGCGAAGAGTGAAAACTCTCAGCAATATAAACAGTAATAATTTAACGTTGTAAACTAAATTCTGAGCTATTCTAACGCTTATAAAAAACAATAAAGTCATTACGCTGCATTAACTTCCCTTCTGTCGAAATCTCGGAAATGTGGTGGTTGCGCAGTTTCGTATTCCTCAACCGCGCCCACTCGCGCCCCACCGGCGAAGCCGGGGAAGCCGGGTATATGGTTTAGTTTAGCGTTAACGCGAGGCCGTACATCTGCGCGCTATGCAAAAAGAAAGCTTCGAAAGGAACGCGAATATCTTTCCACCGGTAAGTTCGTGGATTGTTGAAGTTCACGAAACTGCTCTGATGATGAAACCGTGTTTGGGACCCCGAGGGTCTGCCTGCATGATCCGCCGCTTGCGGCAGCCAGAATGTATGGGAAAATGGCGGACCTTTTCCTCTAGAGTTAGCATGGAGAATAGAAGGGTAGGAGAGGGCATGACGTCGGCCGAGTAGCCTCCACAAGCCATGCTCCCTTGACGCCTCGCCTCTTTCTCATTTCCCTCCTTACTCTCCTCACTCACCATGCCAACGTGACCACATCACGTGACCGTAGCTAGCCTTCGTCTTACTATAGGCTACTAGAATACACCACAGTCTAGCCTTCGATCTGATAAAAACTACCGGACGGAGCGCGCGCAAACCTGCAAGGAGTCCTACTACTGTGGTGATCATATCACGCCACGCGCGGACATGGCTGCCCGACGAACCTGGCCTAGCCTGCCAACCGGATATGTCCCCCCTTTTCCCGCGCGGGAGAATTCCCCTCGCCCGCGGACCGCGGTGACTGAGGAATGTGGGGAGCGGGGGAGAAGACGGGGAAGGGAGGTGAGGCCGAGGAGGAAGACCTGCCCGGAAACGGGCACTTGGAAATAAAAAGATCAGTTGAGTTTGGGACGCCTATGGTATCACTTCTCCCAGGCTGCGTCCCAACATTGGTGACCCGCGACGCTCAATCGCACAATGAATGATCAACTCAGCTCCGACGTCCCGATGGTTGCCGCCGTCGACGTCAAGTTGCCCCCATTTTGGACCGCGGACCCCGAGCTATGGTTCCTCCAGGTGGAGTCACAGTTCGCCGCAAGGTAAAACAAAATGGCTAGGTGGCGTAAGCTACCGCCCGATCCAAAGGGCTCAGCCGTATTCATCCATCCATCCATCATCCATCCATCATCCAGGCGCATCACCGCGGACCTCACAAAGTACCACCACGTGGTGAGCAGCCTGCCGCCCGCAACGGCGAGCGAGATCCGCGACCTGCTATTCTCCCCACCGGCGGAGGATGCGTACAGCACGCTGAAGCGGACGCTCATTCGCCGGGTATCGCCCTCGGAACCGCAGCGGTTGCAGCAACTTCTTTCATCCATCTCACACGTGACATGTCACGCGCACCAATCGCCAGAAAGATCTGCGGTCACGCTGGGCACAAAATCGTTTAAACTTTTATGACTAGACTTCACCAATATTGCAACGTGCCCCCTCCTAGTACTTCTAACCTCCTTGAGAGTTATAGCGAGTTCGTTTCACACGCACTGGCACAGTTCGAGTCTGGTTCGAGTTCTCTCCCAGAATGCATCGCACTCTCCGAGTGTTGCACGGAAAACTGGACTCAAACGAACTCGCCAAATGCACCGAGTGCAGAAGACTGATGCTGCCGCCATCTATGTTGTAGAAAAGGTACCGACTTCAAACCGAAACTAGCGCCTTTCTGATAGGAGTGATGCGTGGGAATGCGAGAATGCAGTCGCTACCAACGTTTATCTACAAACGTTGGTCGCTGCAACCTGTAGTTTATAGTTGCGATGAATTCAAGCAGCTCGGCTGCCGTAGAGATAGTTACAGACGGCGTAAATTTCCGCAACCAGCTGTCTACAAAGCAGCTGGTTCCGATCTTTCAATTCTTATAACCGTTTACACTGAAGAAAACTGACGATGCTGTCCGAGCACAAGCATGATCCGTTTGAGCATGGTATTATGCGTGAACCACTGAAAGGGTGCGGCTTAAAACTAGCCTGTTGGAATATCCAGCAAAACTGGGACTTTCGATTTGGATCGTCATTATAGGTGGATCAGATGATCCACCTATAATGCCTCGGTGAGGGCGTCGAGAACGAGAGCATTCTCGAACAAAATACGACGGGGCAAGTTAGCTGACGTAGGTAAATGTTAAACATGATGATGTTGCCCAATCCTCGGGTAAAGTTACCATCTTTAGCTTTCTCTGATGCTTATTGGGCAGTCAGAGGTTTCTGCTGAGAGAGTTTTGTCGACAAATGTTAAATTTTTCACCCGCACACGGATGGTGATAGATATCTCGGGGGCCGCTTTTACGTTTGTTCTGAGCATTCCTTTACACATTGGTATATTTCAGCGTCTGTGCGGCAACAGAGCGATTTAAAACCTGTAAATAAATCACGGGTTGTCAATTGCTTCCTTCGGGAAATAGCAGACGCTCACAATTCAAGCTCGCGTTTGATTTTGTGGCCCGTGGGACGCGATTTCTATCAGAAAATCTACTTTTTTTCCGTTCGGTTCCGCGACACATCGTAGCAGACGAACCCTCGTCGTCTGCTCCCGCTCCTCGCCGGCCCCACCGGAGCGAGGCATGACGGGATTGCATTTTGGCGCACTCCCGATTTTCTCGGTGCAGCGAGTGCATGCACGCGTGGGGTGTCAGCGGTGAAACGAACTCGGAGAGTGCAACCACTCGTGGAGTGCCGGCCGAAACGAACCCGTTCCACGCTGCGAGTGGGCACGCGTGGGCACGAGTGCCGTGAAACGAACTCGCTATTAGTATGTATGATCTCTATGGATCAAAGTGGCCAGACTGAATTTCGGAAAGGGTCTATTACCATGTCCACCCTTATTGACGAGTTCAACCATTTCACCCCGCCTTTCTTTGCCCTACCCTTTCCCCAGTATCGAGCAGCCAACTCTATCTTCTCTCTTTCCTGATAAGAATCCGATATATCCTGTTCTTGAATAAATCCTGACGCAGCCGATGTCGCTCGGTGGGCTCGGTGGCTGTGCCACAACGCAGACCACTAATCCGTTCAACTTTTTCGTGCAGATGTTCTCCTTCATTCTCCTCCGCGCTTTGCTCCCGGTGCTGGCTTCCTCGGACGGCACGACAGCATGCACAATCTGGAACAACGAAGACCAAGCAAGCAGCTACCACCCGGCCATCAGCAACGCCTCGTCACGTCCGGCAGACTCGTCACTCAAGCAATTGATCCTCGGCCAAGTGTGGAGGGCCCCATCGTCATCAACAGCCGCTTACCCGCCCACTATAAACCAGCCGACGCAGCCGATGTCGCTCTGTGGGCTCGGTGGCTGTGCCACAACGCAGACCACTAATCCGTTCAACTTTTTCGTGCAGATGTTCTCCTTCATTCTCCTCCGCGCTTTGCTCCCGGTGCTGGCTTCCTCGGACGGCACGACAGCATGCACAATCTGGAACAACGAAGACCAAGCAAGCAGCTACCACCCGGCCATCAGCAACGCCTCGTCACGTCCGGCAGACTCGTCACTCAAGCAATTGATCCTCGGCCAAGTGTGGAGGGCCCCATCGTCATCAACAGCCGCTTACCCGCCCACTATAAACCAGCCGACGCAGCCGATGTCGCTCTGTGGGCTCGGTGGCTGTGCCACAACGCAGACCACTAATCCGTTCAACTTTTTCGTGCAGGTTAGTAAATCGTGCAGTCTTTTCTCTAAAAAAACAAGTAACTACTTTTTGATACAGCTGCCGAGCCCGCAGTGTTGCGTTGTCATTTCGATTGAGTGCTTCCATGTCATCCGTTCCTTGCTGTTGCAATCGGGGGACATCGAAACTAATCCTGGTCCTGATACTAACGCCATACTAGCCGAGCTAAAAAAACTATCCACCGGTCAATCGAAATTACTTGCAGAGGTACAAGACCTTAAAACCCAGCTATTAACAACAGATAAAGCGATATCAGATTTAAGCGGGCGCATGACTGCGCTCGAAAACCATTATCAAAATCTCGCCCCCGTGCGCACCGAATTAGAAAATGTAAAAATCGAGACGGCTCAGACGGCCCGTTTGGTCTGTGGCTTGGAGGCACGCTTCGACGATGCCGAAAATCATTCTCGACGCAACAACCTCATTTTCTATGGCATCCCTAACTCCACTGGACCAGAAACGTTTGCCCAATCAGAACAGCTCGTCATCCGGCACTGTCGTGATCACTTGAACATAACCATAGACCCCAAAGAAATAGAGCGTGCACATCGTCTTGGACATCACACATCTGACCGCCCTCGCCCAGTAATCGTTAAATTCACGTTCTATAAGACAAAAGACACCATACTATCTAATGGCCGCAAGTTCAAAGGAACAAGTTTCAGTGTTGGCGAAGACTTTTCTCGGCCCGTCCAAAATGCTCGCAAACACCTACTTGCGTTTGCAAAAAGCAAAAATACGCCGTTTTCTTTACGGTTTAAAACACTACTTATGGGCCCGAAACGCTATATTTTTGATGAACCATCACAGACAGTAAGGGAAACAGCATAGCAATTGCCCCGTCAGAAGAAAATAACAGCCCCCTCTCGGAATTCTACCAAAACTAATCTTTCATTTTCCGTAATCTTCACCAACGCGCGAAGCTTTCTTCCGAAACGAGAAATTTTGTCTAATCTCGTGTTGTCCTCTTGTAGTAATTTGTTGATATTAACCGAAACCTGGCTGTCTAAAGAAATCACTGATGCTGAAGTTCTGGCCGATTTGCCGGACTTCCGCCTTTATAGAAATGACCGCCAAGCCACACGAGGAGGAGGTGTTCTCATCGCCGTACACCAGCAGTTGTCATGTTCTATTGTTAACATTACATCCGACCTTGAAATACTATGGATCATATGTCGCGCTTCACCTCAGACGGTTCTTTTGGGAGTCTGCTACAGGCCTCCCCATTCTTCTCCTGACTTTTCTTGTAAACTTAATAACATCTTTAATGAATTCGCCTTAACGTACCCGAATGCGCATATCCTTCTCTTTGGAGACTTTAACTACCCGCAAATAGACTGGAGCAACCAGATCCCCTCAGCTATAGGCAATGAAGCCGCAAGAGATTTTATTAACGTATGTCTTGATTTTAACCTTGTTCAACTAGTATCCGAACCCACACGTGTTTCACGGGATTCTGCAAACATCCTAGATCTAATACTAACCAGTCATCCCGAAAGCCTATCATCGGCTACTTATCTCCGCGAAGTCAGCGACCACAAAGTAATCCATGCTACCTTCAACTTTTGCCCGGTACGACACCAAACAAGCGATAAAAGAATTCGTCTATATGATAAGGGAAATTATGAAGTAATAAACAATGAGCTAAACGCCTTTCTTCCAATTTTTGAAGCATCATTTTCTAATCGCTCTATTAATACAAACTGGATAATGTTCAGAAATAAATTAAATGAACTTGCAAATAAATTCATCCCACTAATTACGTTCCGTGAGAATCGACAGAAACCCTGGTTTACAAAGTCTTTGAAAAAACTAGGTAACAAAAAAAAACGTCTTTTCCGCTCGGCCAAGCGGAATGGAAACCCCTGCGCATGGGAAAAATACTACGCAGCTGAAGACTCCTATCTGGCATCTATACGTAACGCAAAGCATTCCTTTTTTTATGATGACTTACCAAAGATCTTAATTAACAATCCTAAAAAATTTTGGCAAGTTATAAATCCCCAAGAGACGCGCATCATTAGCCTGACGAACGGAGCGGGCGAAATAGTCACTGACACCGAGTGCGCCAACGCTTTTAACTCCGCCTTCTTTTCCGTGTTCACCGAAGAAACCGATGTCCCTCCCTCTTTAATACCTTCTAACGCAGTATCTACTATGCCAGCTCTCACATTCTCTGTAGATGGCATCTCATCATTAATTGAAAATATCAAACTCTCATCGTCAGCCGGCGTTGACGGAATTAACTCAAAACTTTTAAAAAATACCAAACGTGTATCTGCTGTGTACATGACCATGTTGTTTTCACAATCACTTTCTACAGGCATCTTACCGGACGACTGGAAGGTGGGAAGGGTCGTTCCGGTCTACAAATCGGGTAACAAGGACTCCCCACTAAATTACCGTCCCATCTCTTTAACAAGCGTCCCCTGCAAAGCCATGGAACACGTCATCTACACTCATATAATTAATTTCCTAGACTCTATAGACTTTTTCCACCCCTCCCAGCACGGTTTTCGTAAGGGCTTCTCTTGCGAAACTCAGCTTGCACTCTTCGTTCATGACTTGCATTTTAATCTTGACCATAACCTTCAAACCGACGCTGTTTTTTTAGATTTTGCCAAAGCATTCGACAAAGTACCGCACCAGCGCCTCCTACTAAAACTTTCCCAATTAAATCTAAACACTGCTATTGTTCAATGGGTCCAGGAATTTCTGTCTAATCGGTCTCAGTTTGTCTTTGTTAACAACCACTCATCTAACCCTCTCCCAGTAACATCAGGCGTCCCACAAGGATCTGTCCTCGGCCCGCTCCTGTTCTTAATATACATAAATGACTTACCATCGCATCTGTCATGCCGCATTCGTATGTTTGCGGATGACTGCGTTATTTATCGTACAATCACTAACAGCTCCGACCAGTCATGCCTGCAGAATGACCTTAACCATGTGCAAGAATGGTGCGACTATTGGCAAATGACCCTTAATCCCAGCAAATGTAAACTTGTATCATTCCATCGTCGCCGTAACCCCTTTCTTTTTACGTATACAATTGCTAGCGTCACCGTCGAATCTGTAGAATCATTTAAATACCTAGGTGTAACACTGTCGAACGATTTATCTTGGCGCGCGCATACCACCAACGTCATATCAGCCGCAAACAGAGTCCTTGGATTTCTAAAACGTAATCTACGCCATGCCCCGAAGCACGTACGTTTACTTGCGTACAAATCACTTGTTAGATCAAAACTCGAATACGCATCTGCCATCTGGAACCCTCACCAAGCATATATTACTAACGAACTTGAATCTGTTCAAAATCGATCCACTAGGTTCATTCATTCTGCCTACTCATACGATATCAGCGTTTCATCCTTAAAAGCAGAATGCGGCCTAACACCTCTCTCTCTTCGCCGTCGCACTTCCAGCCTCTCCCTCTTTCACAAGTTTTACTACAGCTCGCTCAACCATGCACCTTACATTGTGCCCCCATCACGCATATCTCTGCGCATTGGTCATCCACTTCAAGTAACACTCCCACGTGCCCGCACTACTACTTTTTTAGCCTCCTTTTTTTCTCAAGCAGCTGCAGACTGGAACGGCCTTCCCCACCACGTCGCCGCCATCACATGTCCGTCCGTATTCATGGAGACTGTCGTCAACCACCTTCCGACATGAATGTCTGTTAAAAATGCTTTTATGTGTAACCCACCCCTTATGTAATACCCCTAACGGGGTCTTTAAGGTAATAAAATGAAATGAAATGAAATAAACTCTATTACCAAACCGTTTAATTGAGCTGTTTTTATTCTACGAAGCACATTTCTCCAGAGCGCACAGTCAAAACTCCCGCTCCTAAATCGTAAACCCACAAACAAGACAAAATGGCCTCCAAGTTTTAGATATGGTTGAGGGGGCTAAATAGCGAAAGATAAGGCATTAAAACAAATTAACAGGTTTTTGTGCGACGTTGAGTAGTTGGTACATATTAAAGTGGTCAACGTATATATATTTTAAGTTTTTAACATAGGTTTTTAACTATCGAAGATGAAGAAACATGGCGGCACATCGAGATCTAGGTCACGTGGTCACCTTAACTTTGGGAGAAAAGCTGTCGCTCCTCTTGCGCTTAGTTTGAGGGACTCTCAGTCTGTGCCCTTCGTGCCCCCAGCTGGGTGCGCGCTGTGTGCTGCCACGTGTGTTTTCGAGCGCCGTGAGCGTCATGGAGCACCCGAAAGAGCACCTACGTGTAGTGATCCTTACGAGACGGCCCGTGTCGGCGGACGACGCTTAGCATTTGCGGCATCGGTACGGAGTTTGATGGGCCTCGAGTGCGGCCGACGGCGGCGATGGCATCCATCTTTTCGCGGAGACGACGGCCCAGCCTCATCCGACTGGTCTCCCTACTTTGCATTGCGGGCGTCACACTCCTTCTTCTGCGCGGTCGACCGGGCTCCGACGTTCGGTCCGACCTCGACACGTCGCCGCCGAAGGCACAGCGGCAGTCCGCCGCCGACGGAAGTGGATCCAGCGGCCGTCTAGCCCCAGCGAAGTGGCAACCACCGCAGGGTAGCCCCGTGCTCGAGAATGTGTTCGATCCCGACGAAGCGGCGTTTTTCGCCAAGTTCAAGCCCGACTGGGGTGCGGAGGGACTGGGCGTTTACCTCAAGGGCGAGGAAAAGAAGCAGGCCGACATCGAATTCAAGAGGGCCGGGTTCAACGCTTACATCTCCGATCGGGTTCCGCTCAACAGAAGTCTCGGAAATCGACGTAATCCCAGGTATAAGCTAGTTGCAGCTAGCTGTCCTACGGCAGTGCGAGACACAGTTCGCGCCCCCGGAATTTCGATCGCCAGTTAAAATGCCTAGCGAAGGCGATGAAATTAGTTCTCAACCCTAACCTTCTTTTTGGTTCCACTTCCGATCAGGCGCGCCGGCAGTGATGCGTTTCCTGTTGTTTTTCCTTCCGCAGTTGCGAGCGCCTCAGGTTCGACGACAAGGACCTCCCATCCGCTTCGGTGATCATAATCTTCACGGATGAGATCTTCTCGGCGCTTCTACGAACGGTGTACAGCGTCGTGAACCGGACGCCGGCCAAGTTGCTTAGGGAGGTGATCCTTGTCGACGATGCAAGCAGCATAGGTGAGCATTGGTCGTTCACACGGGCAACCCAGCGTCAATGGCCGTTCTTAGAAGCTGTAGTGTCGGAAATGCTCCTCGGAAGCTACGGCTTCAAGAAGCAAAATGCTTGGGAATGAGAATTGCACAATGTCCTTGCTTGGCATTTATGTGGTTATGGGTGGTTGAAAATTTTGGATGAGTGGGAACACATATTCAAAGCTTCCAGAAGAGTGCTATTTTTGCTGGCTCTTATCGTTGTCTTCGTGGCTGTTGCTGCCGGTTGACTGATAAGAAGGTACTTTGGTAGCCAGAAAAGATCTGACTGGCCAGTGGCCTTCCTTTGCAGAGGAGTTGGCCAATCAGCGACTTGACAAGTACCTCCGACGGCACTTCAGGCCTGGCCTGGTCAAGCTTATTCGCCTGCCACAGCGACAGGGCCTGATACGAGCACGGCTAACTGGGGCACAGGCTGCCTCAGGAGATGTCTTGGTTTTCCTAGACTCTCACTGCGAGGCGACGGACTACTGGTGAGAGCGTATAATGCTTTGGACGGATCTATGGATGGTTGACAGTGGCCATACCATCTGTGTTGGATGACAGTTTTCGCCATCTAGCCACAGCATTCACACTACCCCCGAGTTTTGGTATAAATTCCATCTTCCCTTAAACCATCTAGCCCCATCAATTTTATGCATAATTTTAGACTTCCCTAGGTTCTTTTCACCAATCTTATGTCCCCCTCACTGGGATTGCAATTTTCACTAGCTAGGAGCATATCTAGCGACCGTTGTGATAGGCTGATTTTACTAGAGTATGGTGAGATATGAAGTTAATACTTTATAACCTGTGACGTAGGGAATGGTTCCACCATTCCCTATGTTTGGAAAATATTTTCACATATCTTTTGTTGATTAGAGCTATTCCCCTCTGGCAGTGATGATAAAGATGTCCTCAATAGTCGAAGCAGCGTTTTAGTCTCCATAGATCTTCAATTTTGTGCACATGCCATATTCTGTCAGGCAGCGTAGGTGAAGCCTTTCAGAAAGCAGTTGAAAGATCAGAGCATTTAATCTCGGACTAACCGTGGCATACTGCTGTGTGGTAAGATTAATTATATTTATTCCGCTCACATTTTCACACATGACATTTTCGCTTGAAATGTACCTTTGTTAAATCATTGCATAACGTTTTCACTTGAATTGTACCTTTATTGAATCATTGCAGATCATAATTTAGCTAATTTTTGCTTGAGTTTTCTTATGATGCGCCCATCTCGCCTACAGCACTTGAGCTGTGGCCTTCAGGAAGGCACAAATATGAAGTTCACAAGTGCACTTCAATCAGGCAGTTTTGCATCCTATTACACAATAAGAGCTTAATTTCACAAACCAAATAGGTCTTAAGTCTCATTCAGGCAGTAACGTTTGATCGCTATTTACTACATTCAGGGACTCGTGCCATGGTACGACCACAAGTTACTGGGACATCTCTGCTTTATGTGAAGCGTTGCAACCAATCCAAGAAAGAGGCACACGACATTTGGAACGTGGAGGATCCGGTTACTCGTAGATGTATCTCAACGTAACATAGTCAAACGCTACGGCGTGAATGGGCCTCCACAGTTCTTGCTAGAGAGCAAGCAACTGAAACCATAGAGAACTTTCGCAATTTAGTGGCGGATGCCTCCTGCACTAATTGGGTGCATGCGTGCGCTATTTAGTGGAGAGGAGGTGGGAGCAAGGCAGAAACGCTTCCAGGTGATCAAGACTTTTGACTCCTCCTCACACCTTGCGTTGCAAACGCGCCTCACAAACCACGCAACATCGATCGAGCTGTTTGAAACACTCATGTCTAGGCCCCCCAAACTCTGTTGCAAGTAAAGAAAGGCAGGACACGCTCCTCCCGCAAAGCACTCCGCTCTTTCTGCTTAAGCAGGGCGGTGCTGGAGAGGAGGCAAGTGGACTGGCCTCCTCTCCAACCTCCCCTCCGATGTTCGCTGTGCTAAAGCGGAAGGAACGGAAGGCTTTGCTGGAGGGGCCCGTCCTGCTTCTCTTATAACGAGCTTGTTTCACATGGCACTGGCACTGTTTGAGTTCTCTCCCAGAAAGCATTGCACTCGCGGAGTGTCGCACGGAGAACTGGCCTCAAACAAACTTGCCAAATGCACCGAGTGCAGAAGACTGATGCTGGGCCGCCACCTATGTTGTAGAAAAAGTACCTATTTCAAATTAAAACTCGCGCCTTTCTGTTTGACGTGATGGGTGGGAATGCGAGAGCGCAGTCGCTACCAACGTTTATCCATAAACGTTGGTCGCTGCAATCTGTAGTTTTTATTTACAATGACTTCAAACAACTCGGCTGTCGTAGAGATATTTACAGACGGTGTATGACTCCAAAGCAGCTGGTCTTTACACTTAAGAAAACTGATGATGCTGTCTGCGCAGAAGCTTGATCCGTTTGAGCATGGTATTATGTGTGAATCACTGAAAGGTTATGGCTTAAAGCTAGTTTGTTAGAATTTGCAGCAAAAAGTTTTCGTGGGACTTTCGATTTCGATTGTAGTTACAGGTGTATTTGATTTTAGCCTTGGTGTGGGTGTCACGAACGAGAGCTTTCTTAAACAAAATACGACAGAACAAGATAGCTGACGTAGGTAAATGTTAAAGGTGGTGATGTTGCCAAAGCCTAGGCCCGGTAAAGTCACTATGTTTAGATGTCTCGGATGTATTGGACAGTGACAGATTTCTGCTGTGGGAGCTTTGTCGACAAATGTTCAGTTTTTCATTGACACATGATTGGTGATAAAGATCTCGGGGGCCGCCGATGCGTTTGTTCTGAGCATTTCTTCACACACTCGTATATTTCAGGGTCTGTACAGCAACAGAGCGACTAAAAGCTTGCAAATAAAGCATGGGTTGTCAATTGCTTCCTTCATGAAATAGCAGACGCTCACAATTAAAGCTCGCGTTTGATTCCGTTGCCCGCGGGACACGATTTCTATCAGTAAATCTATGTATTTTTCCTTTCGGTTTTGCTGTACGAATGACACATCGTAGCAGACAAACCCTTATCGTCTGCTCCGCTCCTCGCTGGGGTGAGGCACGACGGGATTGCATCTTGGCAATCCCGTCGTGGGCTCGCTCAATTTTCTCGTGCAGCGAGTGCATGCACGCGTGGGGTGTCGGCGCAGAAACAAACTCGGGGAGTGCAGCCACTCGTGGAGTGCCGTCCGAAATGAACCCGCTCCACACTGCAAGTGGGCACGCGTGGCCACGAGTGCCGTGAAACAAACTCGCTATTAACCTGCAGCAGAGTATAGTTGTTTGTTTTGGGTAGCGCAACCTTGTAGCGTCCACTCTCTCTTGTGGCAGGCTGGAGCCCCTCCTGCAGCCGATCCGGGAGGACCGCACCACGGTGGTGTGCCCCATCATTGACGTGGTGGACGACAAGAGCCTGCAGTACATGGGCAACGGAGCAGACTACTTCCAAATCGGGGGCTTCAACTGGAAGGGGGAGTTTGTGTGGATCAACTTGCCCTCGGGGTGGAAGGTGGCCCGCAAGACCAAGGCAGACCCCGTCAACACGCCGACTATGGCGGGCGGGCTGTTTGCCATTGACCGCAAGTACTTCTGGGAGAGCGGCTCCTACGACAACGAGATGGAGGGCTGGGGCGGCGAGAACCTCGAGATGTCCTTCAGGGTATGTGCTTGCCCCCTGGTCCGACTGGGCCCGCATCTTACAGTGTCTATAGCTGGGCTTTGGCATTTTCGGTTTATATTTTTGTCTAATTTGGCATACTTCCTTTAGTTTCTAACTAAGAAAATTTTAGGTTTTTACTGGTGAATATTTATTTATATTAAAGGGATCGTGAACCAAAATTTGGATTTCAGGAAACAATGCAGGAGCTGTAGGCGGGACGCTACAATCCCTATGCCACTACTCGTAATGTGATACCTCGAATGGACATTTTTGGAAGAAGAGGTCAAATTGGATTGAGGCCAACGAGGCGCCTGACGTCAGCATATCTTGTTTCCTCCTCTTTTCGCTTCACCCCTTCAAGGCAGTGAGGCGGACAAGAGGCGAGGCCGTTTCCTCCCTTTCTCGACTCTTCTCGGAGAAACAAGACGTCAACATATCTGTCAAATGGGCGTCCTTTTTTAAGAAAAAAAAAAAAAAAAAATGGATATCTGTTTGCGATATTGCTGTATGAGGGATGTTTTGGTGTTTGTAGCATCCCGTTGCATGCTTTTGTCGGCGTGTTTTGTGGAATCCAGATTTCGGTTCAGCATCCCTTTAAGGCTGCGGTCCCACGGCAGCCATCTTGAACAAGGCGTTAGTTCAACCAATAGATGGCGACACGCACCCGTGGGGTGGCCGAAACATTGGTTCACGGTGGGATGGCTCGAGCACCATCACGTTCCCCTCGTGGCCTTGCTCGCGCCGCTGCCAGCTGTGCTCAGCTGGTTCAAGTAGCGTGGCCCAGCAAACTCCTGTATGCGAGAGAGAGAGAGAGAGAGAAAACCTTTATTTTCGCTCCAAGTCCGGAGCTCCTGTATGCGAGAATGTCAGGCTGGGTATAAATGCGGTTCGGCGGTTGTCACGGGATTTCGCAATAAATCTAACCAAGAAGGAATCACTTGCTGATTGACGTGTCAATATCCCTTCAACGAAAACCTTCTGCAGGAATGCACGCTCAGTAGACTCAATCTTCCAGGACACCAGTGAAAGCGGACTTCAAGTAAACTGCTTCGCGATTTACGGTAGTTACCTCACCATTATAACGACGACTGAAAAGCGATGTCACGAAATATCGTGTTTCACGGGATCCGGAAGATGTTGTAAAGGTTGTTACATTATAGCTCCCAGAAAACAAACGCCGTTCCAATATTTTCGGAAGTACCGACACACGTAATGTTGTAAGTACAGCTTACGAGGAATATGATGAAAACCATCAGAATAAATAGGAAGACGTTTATTTGCAATGAAGAGGCTATGAATGAACGGCGTTTAGTGACGACAGGTTATGAGCGTTCGGGAATATATAAGTTCACGTGATTGCTAACTATGGACATGCGGACAATGAAGACCTGTTTTGTCGGGAGATGGAGTAGCGGTGATGACCTGATATCGGACGACTCGTGGCAGACGAACAAGCAAGTTTCTTCTCAGCGAATGGTAAGCGTCCAGTATCAAGCACAGCACGTGGCTACCGACGTTGTCGACTTTTCGAACACTTACCGCTTTCGACAAAAGTGCTTGCACCTGGGCTAACTTTGTGGAAAGACTCGAAGTCTTCCTCGAGTCCAGCGCCATCATGAACAGTAATTGAGAACGATCTATTATTCAGTCGGTGGGTGGCGAAACGTATCCGCATCTGCGGAGTCATTGTCGATTCATACTTTAAGTGGTTGGAAGTTTACACGATGCCTGCCACGACCTCCAAACGCGTCATTGACGTTCTAAGCTCTGTTTTTCCTAACATTTGCCCTACCGAAAATACTTTTCTCTGATAACGCGCCAAATCTTGCTTCAAATAAAATAAAAAAGTAAAAAAAAAAAAAGAAAACCGGCAGCACCATACCATCCTCCAACTAGGGTGCCTCAATGACCTTCTGTTTAAAGTGATGCCACCCTTTGTAGTACCCGATGCCGACAGCGCGCGCTCACGGGGAAAATGCAAAGAAATCGACAAAAACAAAATGTCGCCATAGCACAGTCAGCGCCACAGACGCGTGCAGGGCAGTGTTGCCAGGTCTACTGATTTATCAGTAGATCTACTGATTTCGTTCCGGGTCTACTGATTCACTGAAAAACAAGAAAATCTACTGACTTTTTTTTTAGTAAACATATTAAAAATTTATTATATGGCCCCTTCAGTTCCCAGTGTCGCCCATCAAAGGAAACTCATAATGTCCCAGAATTAAAAACGAAGCACTGGCTAGATGGCCCAGAAGCCCGTCCTATTCGAGTGACGTAGCCGTATATTCATCTATCTATTCACCCAGAGCAGGTTCGGCAGGTTCGACGGTGACATCCGGGCCAGAGCCATATATGGAGAGAGTTTGGCTAGTCTATGATCTCGCCGTAACGTCCCTCTCCCGAGTGAGTCAATCAGCCCGCGGCGCAGAGCGAGAGGTGTTTCCGCATGCGCCTGAACTCTCGGCTGCTCCTATACAATCCATACATGGGTAAATTACTTTCAAAATGTAATTTAATTACAATTACAATTACTTAGCTCCCAAAGTAGTTTAACTACAATTACAATTACTACTACGCGAAAGTAGTTCATTGAAATTACAAATTACTTTTTAAAAGTAATGCAATTACTTTACAATTACTTATTTCTGAGAGTTACCCACCTTGGGCCATATAACTGTAAACGAGTTATATGGCCGCTGTATAAATGTCACGCATTGTACTTTCCTTTTATGAAATTTGTTAAATGGATTATAGAACTTAATAGTTTGGAGTAATGAACTTATGATTTCTTATATTCTCAAAAAATAAAAATAAATGGCGACAAAATTCACAGGTGCGAGGTGAATCTCTTTAGAGCTTGTGCAAATGGTATCCAAGTCAAACCAACGAAAAATAAACTTAAAAATAATACAAGGAAACAAATATGCGACAGTACTGGTATCATAAAACTCGATGATTCGCTGCCTCTCCCTGTCTGTGGACTTGTAACATGTCGGACGTGGGTAACCGTAGCACGCGAACTGCGGTCGCTTCCACAAAACTAGTGTCACAATAGCAGCAACTCTCTTGCCAGGGATTCTGGGTTAATTCAGTGCACGGTAACACCCAAAAAAAAGCTCCTGAGATATATAATAAATTTAGGATCGTCATGTCAGGCGAAGAAGCAAAGAAGCAGCAGGTCTCATTAACACGACTCACCCTGCCTTACTTCCAACTGTTGTTGCTAAACTGCGCTTCTTCGCCTCGATGTTAGAGTAGCACGACCCTCTGTTAGTGGTACCAACATACGAGATAGAGGAGAAAAACGTGAAAAACTCATAAAGAAAAGAGAATAATTTCATGAACAAAAAAGTCCCCAAACTTGACTGAAATATGTAAGCGAATATGCTAGCGGCGAAGACGCGTAAGGAAAACCTCGAACCTCCCCGCCTCGACCGGATGATGTGATCGGAGCCAACCAGCTCGACTTCGACCCCCATGCCCCCGTGTGGGAATGAGAAATAAGAAAGACCCCTAGAAACAGGAGCAACAGGAAGCGAACGAGACGAAGAGTCAGATTCAACTACGACAGGAACGAAAACGGACGCGAATGAAGCCCTCATTTATCAAATTATTTCTCAAATTCTTCATTAAAACGTTTTGCAGTCTACAAAATCCTTCATTCCGTTCTATCCCATCCCTCTTTTCCCTTTTTTTGAGCAGGTTGGGAGACTCTCCCCCTTTATTGCTTCGGTTGTGCTCTCGTCGCCGTGGCCAGGGGGGAAAAGCGCCACCGCCGCAAAATCTTGCAAAAGTAATTGTAATTGTGCCTGAAATTTAGCAATTACTGATGCTAGAAAGTAATTAAATTACAATTCCTTTCAACCAAAAGTAATTATTACAATTACAAATTACTAGGAAAAGTAATTAAATTACAGTAATTTAATTACTGTAATTGAATTACTACCCAAGTATGATACAATCTACTAAAATAGCTTCGAGTTGAGCGGAGAGAGCCGCAATTTTCATTCATTCGTTCGGCGGAATGCATGGGATCGACATCCAAATTTCAGTTATTTTCTTTTATTTGGCAGGATGTGGCAGCCTCCACGAGTTTCTCCACGTTTGAACGCAAACTTTGGGTCAGGCGAAAAAGAAATAAGCCCGTAGCAGATAACGCGTAGCCTCAACAGTGCTCCGGACCAACAGCGTTGCTTCAAAAACCTTCCACAGCCCAGTAAGGAAAGATGGCAGCATGCAGAAGACTTCCATTGGACATGTTCGCGCGCACTTGCCGGAGTGTCTTGTTTCGGTTTTGTTTCAATAATAGCGACAGGTGAACGTCGCACTGTCGCATTCATCTGTGATCCCAAAAGTGCCTCAGTCTCGATTCTAAAGAATAATCCTCGAAACAGTCAATAATGACTAAAACAAAAACATTTATGGTGCCATTTTAATTTGTCATTCGTATAAAGTTACTTGAGAACTGGTCTTGTTTTTTTCTTTCATTTTTATTTGTTTTTATTACCATGTTATTTGTTACTCTATACTATTTCTTTGAAGTGTGTATTAATGGAGATAACAAAACATCGCAAAACACATATTTCGTGGAATCTACTGATTTTTGTGCAAATCTACTGACTTTTTGGGGATCAATCTGCTGACTTTTTTTTTCTCCATCTGGCAACACTGGTGCAGGGACACACTCTTTCACGCGCTTCTGAACAAAAAATAAATGTAAAAGTGGGAACAAAATGGCCAGATGTCTCCACCCTAAGCAAAGCGCACATGAAGGCACCCTACCTCCAACTAACGGACAAACAGAACAGATGGTGTGCAAAATGAACAAAGCCCTCTTGAAGCTTACGGAAGAAGCAGTTCAGTGAAGAATCGCCAGGTTCTTGTTCCAGCAACACGCGACGGTCTCATCTTACACGGTAAAAACACCCGCCGAAGCAATGTTCGGCGGACGAAGAGCAACACCCCTCGATCTCATGGCCTACAAACGAAGATCGACAGAT